TTCAAAGTCTGTTGTACGGAAAACGTGCTATGTCGATCACATAGTAAAATCAGTAAGCGTGAAATCTTGTCTGACTGCTATTCATGTGACTGATTCGAGTATATACTTTAAACAATATAAATAATTGATGTAACATTTATGTGACAACAAAGAATGTCCGCGCTTATCATTGCTATATGTAACTCATTACGTAGGATACCTTCCATTAAAGTTTAAAAAACAATAGTACTTTGGAATGCAAATCTTTTCTATTGTCCAGACCCCATATGTCAAGCAAATATGCACGTTTTTTTAATATGTAATTGGTAACACAACACTTTATATGAAAAAAAGGGTATTCAATGAAATATATACTTGTAGTATATTAATATTAATATTGAAAATAAAAAAATAGAAAAATAAAAAAATATATATATAAAATAAATAAAATAAAATATCCATCATCTTGAGAAATTTAATGATTTTTGATTTAAAAAATTTTTTTTGACTCTCAACTACAGAAATATTTGCCATTGAATTAAATAAAAAATCAAACAAAAATTTTTTTTATAATATATATGAAAGATGAAAAAAGTAGCAAAATAAAACATTGAAATATATATATATATATATATATATTGATAGTGATTTGAAGCAAAAATTATATTTTTTTGATTTTAAATTTTCTTTATAAATAATGATAGTTAACTGAATAAAATAAAAAAGAGGAGAAAGACAATTTTTATGAAATAAAAATAAATCTATTAAAGAAATAAAAAAAAATATTTTATTTTTAATTTATATTTATATATATTTATATATTTATATGTGTCTTTTACCTTCTCTTTCAATATTTTTTTTAAAAAGTAAAATTTTAAAATTAAATATTATAAATTTGAATTTTGTAAAAGTAAATCTACTGCAGAATTAACATCACCACCAGCAGCAAGTAATGCACGAATATTTGCAGCTTGATCCATAAATCCCATATCTTTTAAATTTCGAAGTTGTTCTCGGAAACGAGCCTCAGGAGGTTCGGATGATTGATTGATAGGTTGTGGCGTTGTTGACGTGGTCGATGTTGCTACCGTTGATGGTGATGATGACGTAGTTGATGTAGGCGTTGACGTAGCCGTTGATGTAGTAGGTGTTGTTGATGTTGTTTGAAAGCTTCTTTATGATAACAAATTAAAGAACATACTTAATTTTATTTTATTTTTTTTTGAAAAAGAATTTAATTTTTAATTTTATTTACCTCCTGAGTGCTGGTGGTGGAGAAACATTGTTTGTGAAAAAAGGTGAATGTGATCCAAATTGATGAAAAAAAGTTTGCGGACCTGGTTGTCGAGTTGTTGGATATTGTGATGATGATGGCGATGATGATGGCGATGATGATGATGGTGGTTGTGATGATGGTGGTTGTGATGATGTTGGAGCTATATAACGTTGCATTATTTGTTGAAACCTAATAAAATCAGGATTAGAAGATGTTGGTAAACTCCGTGGATGTGATGAAAATCTAACGCTAGGGAAATTCTGTGGAAGACCATTCGTGGAAGAAGGTTGTGATGATGTATTATTAGTTGGTGCCGATGATCCGTTATTTAATTGCGAATTACTATTTGGTAATCTGTTATTAGTATTGGTAGATAAAGATTGAAAAGGCTATATATGTGTATATAAATTATATATTAATTTGTAATGAATAAATAGAGAATGAAAACATTTGCAAAAATAATTGATAAAAAAATAATTACTGCTTGATTAGGTGGAAATCCCATTAAACTAAAAGATGGTATTCCTATAAACAGATAAAATATAAAAAAAATTTTAAATAAATAAATATAGACATTTAAAATTTTCATGTGTGAATAATATTTATTAGTGAAATATTTACCACCAAAAGGATTTGTTACATTTCCTGATGATGTTATCCCGCCTAAACTTCCAAGATTATTGTTATTCCTTGGAGCCCATGGATTTGGTAATGGCGTGGTATTTATACGGCCCTCTATGAATAAATAAACCAGCATTTATACGAGATTAATGACAATAATAGCAGTAATAATGATAGCAATAATAACTTATATATATATATATATATACAAACCTGGTGGTTTTTCAACATTTAAAATTTGGGCAAGACGTTGATTAGCTGCCTCTGATAATTGTTCATTCTTTTTTATTTAATTTAATTTGATTTTAATTTAATTTGATTTTAATTTATAACAACACAAATAAAAAAATAAAATAAAAAGCATACATTTCGACCAGCAGATTCAAGTGGTTCTTGTAGTGTGTGATACATTCTCCGTAGGTGATTAAAACCTCCAGGTATAGTTTCAAGGTTTGCTAAAGCTCGATCTAAAAAGTAATTAAAAATTTTTAAAAAAAAAAAAATTTTGTAGGTGTGGAAAATTAAATGTGTTTTAAGTACCATTATTTCTCATCATTTCCCTCATTAATTCAGGATTTCTTGCCATATCCATTGTCTAAAAAAAACAATAAATTTAAGATAATAAATTAGCATATATTACATATTTTCTTGATTGGTTAAACAAATATATAGCAACAATTTGATGAATTTGAATAAAATATAACCTGACGAATAAAAGATGGATCATTCTTGAAAAAAAAGTCAAATTAAACAATTAATTAATAATTTGGCTAATATATGAAAATATTGAAAACATAATAACAATAGCATATTACAATGATGTGACCAATTTCAGGATTTCTTTCAATCATTTGTCTCATTGCTGGATTTTGCATGACCATAGATCTTACTATTTCAGGATTAGAAAGTAAATGCTTAAAAAGAGTTTAAAAAAAAAAAGAAGATAATAATCAAATAAATAAACGAAAATTATAGAAAAGAATACAATTATAATTATATTATATTAATCATCATTATTAATAATAATAATAATAATAATGATATATATACTCTAATCATTGGAGAATTCATCATATTTCTCATTACATCTTGGTCAAAGCTTCCACCCAAGCCCAAAAGATTCAAAGTAAATGGATTTATTGATGGATTGTTATTGGGATTCCTAGAATTGTTGTTCGTTGAAGAATTTGCAGCTTGTTCAGCAGCACGATTAGCAGCACTTCGAACAACATGTATTGTATGTCCTTCTTTGACACCTATTATATTTAAATTTTTTATATTTAAAAAAGAAAAGAAAGAGTTGTACACATGTATAAGATATTTTATCAATTATTTGTTATAAAAGAATTAAAAGAATTAATGTTTGTGATTCACATACCGTAACTTTCTACCAAGTCTTCATCTTTTAATACTCTTCCTGAGTAAACTAATCTCATTTTATTAGCAGGTATAGTTGTTGGAATGGCAAGCCTTTCTTTGAATTGTAGTACGGTTAGTTGACTAAGATCAAAATTATAATCCATAATGTCACCTGTTGAAAAACGAAGTTTAACTGTAATATGCTTTTTTTCAATAATTGGCTCTTCCATTTTATTTTATTTTATTTTATTTTTACTTTTTTTAAAAAAAAATAATTATATGGTAAAAGTATAAATATAATTTGTATGTGATTATATAAATAATAATAGTGTTTAATTAATTAATTGGATTATATTATATATATATAATATTGGCTTTAATAGATGTCTATATATGTAAATATATAATAAAAGATATATAAAAATTATTAATATTAATAAAAAAATTTTTTTTTTTGAAGAGAAGAAATAAAAATAAAAAAATATTTTAATTATTAATATTTTTTATCACTGAAAAAATTACGTAATTTTGTGATAATTCAATTCTCGGGATAATTGAAATGATGTACGTGTGATATTTACTATATATCAGATCTTTATTAGAAATTTATTTTTTTATTTTTTAATTTATCAAACAATTTTTTTTCTATTTTGTTCATTATTGAAACATCTTCATCATCACCATCATCATCATCATCGTCATCCAAATCATCATCCAAATCATAAACTTGGATGATGTTTTGATTTTTTTCTTGCTTGATTTGTTTAATTAAATTGTTCAATTTAATTACATTTAATTTTAAATCTTTTCTTTTTGATAAAATACTTTCTAAATATTCATTATCTATTATTTTACAATAAATAATATTATAATTGTTGCTGTTGTAAATTGATTTCATTAAATGATTATAGTCGGCGGAAATCGTGCCGCTGTTTGTAAATATAAAATCTCTAACTTTATAAATAATTTCAAATTTTTGCTCAATTAACTGATAATTGCAAGTATAATTATTAAAGAAATCTATTGCAATAAAAATATTTTTGTTGATAATTTCCCTTGAATTTTTCTTGTTTTCTTCCTTCTTCTTCTTCTCCTGACTATATTTTGATTTTTTATTATTAAAGGATCTTATATACTTTCTAATAAATAAATCTAAAAGTTTTAAAATAAATCTATTAAAGATCTCCTTCTCCATATATAAATTACAATCGTCTACATAATCCTTGAGTGTAGCAGTGATAATGGCCATCAAGTCACTCTGATACCATAATTTAGTGTGTAATTTAGCAAAGATTTTGTTGATATCATGAAATATTATATTTATTAATATTCCTATGGTTTTATCGATAAAATTATTATTATCATTGAAGATATTGTAATAATTTATTTCATTAGTGAAGTTATTCTTAATTGATATTCTATCATTCAATATTGCTATAATATATTCTATAAATCCATCATTTATCTCTAAATTATTTTTATGTTTATCATATTCTTTGGTGATTAAATCCAAATAATTGTCTTCTATCTTTATTAGAAATCTATTAATTGATAATAATAAATTCATTAATAATTTGGTGTTATTCAGTTTATTAACCACCGAATCATTAACATTCAACTGTTTCATTATCTTTATTAAGATGTTTGTATTATTTAATGCTAATTTATTATTGGGTTGTGTATTATTACTATTGTTATTATTATCACGTTCATTAAAACCTTTTATTTCAAGCTCGATAAAACCCTTTAACCACTCGGTTAACTTCTTGTCCACTATAGATATATAAACATCTATAATATGTTCAATGATCGAATTCTCAAAACTTTTTGAATTGTAACATTTCTTAAATATTTGAAATTCTTCTAAATTATTACTAAAGAAAAAATAATAATCATTCAAGAAGATTAAAATAGTTTTAATTAAACTAACGCTTAGGTCATCGCTTGGGTTTAAATATTCAAAATTATTTCTGTTGTCCCTGTTGTCAATTAGGTTTCTGTTGTCAATTAGATTTGTTCTGTTGTTAATTAGATTTTTGTTGTCAATTAGATTTCTGTTGTTATTTAGACTGTTATTAAATAAGCGATTATTTAGACTTAAGCTATTATTATTTAGACTATTGTCGTCATCATAGACTATATCATGTATATAATTATAGATATTTTTGTTATAAACATAAATAAAATGTTCCAAAATACCAAAATTTTTTGGAAATTTTGGATAAATTTTTTTTTTAATAATTTTTAAATCATCGAAAATAAAATTCAGCTCATTCAATAGCGAGGTCGGATCATTCTTTTGTTTATCAAGATGAATTTTAAATCTTTGATTAACTGTTTGATAAATAGCATTTTTAATAAATTTGTATTTAATAGATTTATTGATATTATCGTCACCATTGATAATGCTGTTGATGTTAATGATGGTGTTGAGGTAATCTTTAATTTCTGCATCCTTCTCTTCTTCTTTTTCTATAATATCAACCAACAAATTGATAATAATAAAATCTTGATCATCATCGTCGTCGTCATTGCCATAATGATTGAATAATTTAGCAATCACAATCCTAGATAATTCTAAATAGTAATTGATAAATTCTTTATTATAGAATTCTTGTAAAGGTAAAAAAATATTTTTAACTTTTATAATGGTCGTTGTTATTGACGATGATGTATAACCTTGTTGTTGTTGTACTAATAATTGTTTTAAAATATTTAATTTTGAGGATTCCAATTGAAATATGTTTGAATAAACTAACGAAATCTTATTAGTTAGGTAAGAAATATCATTATCATTGTAACTATAAGTATTATTACTATTTTCTGATAATGTTTTCCTCAATTGGTTAATAAATATAATGATTTCTTCGATTATTGCCTCTTCTTCTTCTTCTTCAACAATCCTGCTGTAATCTATTTGTGGAACCTAAAAATTTTTATATATTGTTGAGAGAGTATATTGTTAGGAAAAAAAATTTTTTTCTCAAGCAAATAATAATAATAATATTTAGCCACAAATTCAAACCTTGATAATTTTGGTAAAAATATCATCATCATCATCATTATCTGCTGCTGCTGCTACTACTACTGGTAATGTCGATAATGGAGTAATGCTATCACTATCCTTCTTCTTATCGTCGGTGGAGGTAATTTTTATAAAATGTTTTTTAAAATTTTTATAATTTTTTTTCAATTTACTCTTTTTATTTTTTGTGGGTTCATTCATTATTATTTTTTGTTATTTTTCTATTGTTCAGAAAAAATTTTTTATTATATATAATGAATATGAATGAATATGGATGGATGAATAAATATGGATGAATGAATATTATATTATGTGTAAATAATAATGATGACGACCGAAATATATAATCGTTGTTTTTTAGGTGTTTTATTATTTAGTTGTTAAATGGAAGTGTTAAAGGTAGAGTAAGTAAAGAGAAAGATATTGGAATATATTAATTTATTGATAGTGTTAACTTTTTAAATTTATTTTTTTTCTTCCAAGAAAATTATCTTTACATAATAATAATAATATTACTATTATTATTGCAGTGATGATTTCTACCTGATACGGTAGAATTTTCCACACATAAAAAAAATTAATTGATTGATTAATATGTTGATGAAGACGGTTTATTAATGTTGTTGAGTGGGTGGTATTTATACAAAATTTTAATACCGTTCTTGGTCAGTCACATGATCAAATATACCGACAAATATTTGATTGGATGATGCATTGAATTTATTGAAAGGAAAGAATATCAGAAATTTTTTATATTGTTTTTTTTTAATGCGTCTATGTAGTTTCTAACTTTAACTATAATAATTTGTTAACAGAGCCACGTGTAAGAATTTTACAAACAATGGATTTATTCAATAGACCCTTTTAAATATGCGTAGCCTATTATAAAACTTATCAAATCGGGTAAGAATACACGATTAAAAAATTAATCAAGAGAAAGAAACGACGAGAATAATTCCAAAAATAGATGTAAATTTATATAATTGTTAACTTTACATTTATAGACGATGATGATGCGATGTTGATACCGTATAATTAAATTAATTATTTATTTATTAGTGTTCGATCATTTAATTATATTTCAAAAAATACCGTTATCGAATTAAAAAAATTTTTTCAACTTTCTCGCACAATTGATATTTTATTTTTATTTAAAAAAAAATTTTTTTTTCTCAAAGTGCAGACGCAAACAGGAGGCGTTGCATTTGTAATACAAATTCTTTTCTCATCTTCCTCTTCCTCACTCTTCCACTTCTACTATTCCCTTTTTTTTGGATTTTTTTTTTTTTATTGTTAAATTCTTCTCATTATCCGTTACTCTTTTTCTTGACCTCGTACAAATTTGTGTTTTTATTTTGTTTTTATATTCTTGTCGCGTTTAGTCCATTGTTTTTTTAACGAATTCAATTTTTTCATCTATCTTCTACCATCATTATTATCCACACATTATTATACACAATAATTGCCTACATAGTCCATTAATCATCTAATCTTTCTTAAAAACATATTTAAATAGTTGACGAAAGACCTTTAATTCAACTTCCTCTCTGTCCTTCTTCTTTTCATTTTTTTTTTATATTTTCCAAAAAAAAATTTTTCAAAAAAACCAAAAAATTTTTTGTTCGTTTTTCTTTTCTTTCTTATATTATAAATATTCTAAAAATTATTTTATTATAATTTACCATTTAGAAAAAATATATAAATATACACAGTATACAAATCCCCGAAATTTCATTTATTGATTGTTGTATTATGATTTTTCGTATTATTTCTAGTAATAATAATACGCGCTACACACATTGAATATAAAAATATAAATATTTTTTAAAAAAATTAATGACAAATTCTATGAATTCTCCTTCTTTCAACAAAAATAATTCTGGAGTGCTTATTAACGATATGAATGAATTACATGTTATCGAATTCATCACTAATGATCAACCTTATCCTGCTGAAAAGGTTTTTTTTTTTAATTTTAATATTATATATAATCTTAATCTTTTATTTAGATTACTGAGAATTTTATTTATCTTTAGCTTCTAGAAAAATTAATAGAATACCAATCTGAAATTCAAGATGAATTCGAAGATTATATAAAGTAAATAAGTCTTTTTTTTTTAATTTTTTAATTTTTTTAATTTTTTTTAATTTTCTAACTTTTAAAATTTCGAATTCTTTAGTAACACTGGATCTTCAAAATCATACGCATCCTCCTATCATCACCGTCATAATCAACGCACCAGTGATAATAATAATGATGAAAAAGCTCCTTTATTATCATTGGATGAAGACGAAGACTTGGAAGCAGCAGGTGATGATGCAGAAGCTTTAATGAAAAAGGTAACCAATTAATATTTTTGTATCAGTGTATCATAAAGCAGAATGACCGGTTTTTCAAGTAAAACTTCGTCTAGAGTTTTCATTATGCGCCAACCAACTAATACAAAAAGTAAATCAAGCAACAACAATAATAATCCACTTTTTCAAATAATTGTAATAGAACGAAGTGATTCGATCTGCTATCGAGAAAATAAAAAAAGTTACAGAGGAACAAGAAAAAGAATTACGTTACAAAGAGGAAGAACTTCAAGAATTATATGAAACATTTGCTGAATTAAACAATAATGACATGATTTACAACAATAATGAAATCCAATCATCCACACCATCATCTTCATCCTCCTCATCCTCATCACCATCTTCTTCATCCACCTTATCATCCACATGCTCGTCATTGTCGCCTGTAATTAATCGATTAAAGTTAGTAAATATTTTTTGTAACAAATATAAATTAATATAATAATAACTTTACAAATTAATAATAATAATATATAATATTTGTATTTATTATATATATAAAGAATAATAGGATGTTTCATCGTCATAATGCTCTTACCAATTTTATTGATAATGTTATTAGACACGTATGTTCAAGCCGGTAATAGACCTCTAATCGATTAATTTATCAAACCAATGAGCGAAGATTACTAACACGAAAAAAGATGATGATTTTATCAAATGCCCATTCTTTCAATCATCTTTTAACACGAAAATATTTATTTATTTATAAAAAAAAACGAACATTTTGAACAATTTTTTTTCATTCTTTTTTAAAAAATATTTCTGCACAAAATTTAAATTTTTTTTTCGTTGAGAAGAGTAATGTTTTTATGGTTTGGGCGTATATTATATATAATATTGGATATATATTAATATGTTTTTTGACTAGTCAAAATTATGGATTTTTTTTCATTCAAAAACTTTTTAAAAAAAAAAGATTTATGTATATAAGGTTTATGTATATATGGCTCATTTTCGCCAAAAAATTTATTATTTAAGATTGTTATTATGTATAATTTTAAGAATTTTTTTTAAAAAAACGTATTTTACATAAGTTTTAAGATAAATAAGAAAAAATAAATATTAATAATATATAAGACATTGGTGATATGATAATTGATTTTACAAATAGAATCCCAGGATTTAAAATCTCCAAGTTGTTCTTCTGATCTATATAACCTTGTAATTGGGCAAATCATTTGAGATTTATTTTATTTTTTCATGTAATTGAGCCAATCAATTCGCCTCGTTTTTCTTCTCTTTGTAAAACTAACACTTGTATATCAATTTGTAAAAGTATCTGTCTTTACATATAATCTAGCACAGACAAGGAAAAATCCTTACAGCAAAGATTACATGATCATCCAAAAAACGTGTAATGTTCAAGAGCAACGTTTATTATTATAAAAACTTTTTTTGTCGAAGATGATGATGTATTCCATAGACTACTATCATTTGATTATTAATAATAATGGCGAAATACAGAATATATTGACAAAAGAATAGTTAATACTCATTAATGTCTTCCCATGCAATTGCTCTGGTGGTTTTTTATCTTATTAATTTTCAAAATATATAATAAAATCATTGCCATATTTCTGGAATATAAAGTTCGCCATTTTAACGTGTTTTGGTCGACAAAATTGTGTACATAAGGCTAATCTGACTTGTTTCCACGACGATATGATGATACATTTAAATTTCAGGAGGAGAGCGCGGCCCTGAAGCGTGTTGAAATTGCATTATCGTCAAAGCCTTTCACTTTCCAGAAGCCTCCTAATATGTGGGAGCCTTCGATCTGTGGAAAATTCTACAGAATGAAGAGCACCTACTTGCATGTTCGCGGAAGGAAAAGTTTATTAAATCTGACACCTGTAGACTTATCCATTTTATTTCATTTTGAGCTTTGGAAATGATTTTAAGTAACTCTATAACTTTTAATTGTATACAGTTGGGAAGAAAAAAAAATTTTTTTTGAAATAGAACTATATATTTATTTATTTACCTGGACGTGTGAATATGACGTAATTTATTAGGGAAGGGGCTCTGGTTTAAATGTTAAAAAACCAATGTGACACGAACCAAAAATTATTTTATTTTAAACAACCCTGTGTGACTTTAAATGACTGATGTGGGGAACCGCACTATCAAACCAATAATCACGTCATATCCACGTCCCTTATCTGCATGGTCTTAATATTATGAATAATATATTACATAAACACCATGAATATTGTAATAGATATGATACAATAGTGGAGCAAAGTATTCATTTACATTCAAGGAAAGGATTAAAAAGACAAGTAATGTTTATTTATTTTAAGAAAAATACATACCGTATTGCCTAGAATATAAGCGCCAGTATGAATTTGCAACAAAAAAAAACCAAAAAATAGAAAAATAAATACAAATACCACATCAAAAAATTAAGATGCTCGACTGATCTTAAACCAGTTGTTTTGCATATCGCAAAACTTGGAGCTTTTCAGAGAAGAACCTTTGAATAATTTTGACAAATTTCACTACGTGTTTTGATTTCAATTATATGGTGCTTAGGCTGTTTTATAAAAAAAGTAAGGTATTAATTAATTAATGTAAAAACATACCTTCTCCAGGAATATACCAAATAATACTTTTGATAAATTAAATATGAATGCCTAGCTCGTCTAAAATTAATTGAAAAAAAATAGTGTTCTTTTTTCTACGCGCCTTAAAAAACTATATTTTTTTTGCATTGCAGAGTCAAAAATTATATCTCTTTATATATCTTTTATCGAAAGTGAGAATACATTTGCTAATGTTGGACATGTAAATTGACCTTGTAAATTATAAAATCATATTTTGAGCAATCATTTCGATAAAAAAAGGTTCGATATTTACAAACTACACAAATCCTAATTACTCTGCTCCTGAAGGGGTGACGATTCCTTCTCTTTTGTTTCTTTTGTCGAAGATGACGATCCACGCTGAACGCTTGTTATAAATTGGTAGTGGTGGGACCTATAGGTGATGATGACTCGCAATTTATGTTAAAATTAAGTTGGCCAATCAAGAAATTCACATTCAAATTTCTTTGGTGATGTGACACACACACATTTATCATCTTCAAAATTTTTCAAAATCTAAAATGTCTGCCGCCGACGATGGCATTAAAGCACAAACTACCATCATCCCAGAAAATGAATCGATTATAGAAAAATTGGGCAAATCACCTTATCCAGCATGGATAATGTCCGGATTATGTATCTACTGCTACTAACTTTTTTTTATATATGTAAGAGTTACATAAAAAAAATTAAAATTTTTTTTTACATTTTTAAGGTTTAAGCTCAATACCAGTAGCGGCTAAAGGCACATTAGGAATGCCATCAGTGTTTCAATGTAGTGCATTTGGTTTGATTTTTGCTGGTGCGGGGTAAGTTTCAATTATTTATATATTGAATTTTTCTTGGTAAAAAATTTTTGTTAATAAAAGTGATTTTAAAGATATATGACATATATGGGTGATATTGAAAATGGACCAGGAACTACAACAGGCTTGTTTTTTACAATAATTATGATGAATATTATTTATGTTTATTTTTTTTAGATTTTCTAAATTTTCATTTAATGAATATGATTTTAATGATTTTAGCATGGTCTTTATCTTTTACATTTTTTAATATACGTAAAGCAATAACCTCTAAAAGACCATTACCGATTTTACTTGCATCAGTAGCTTTATCAGATGCAATAATTTATGGAAGACAATATTTTTTTTAAAAATAAAAATATAATTTAACAATAAAAACAATAAAATAATTACATTATTAAAGAAATAAAGAATAAAAAAAAGTTTTTTTACAGAAAATTAAATTAATATTTTAAAAAGCACTTTCTATTTTTTCTATTTTTAAAAAAAAAGCTTTTTGAGCCATCCAAAAATTAAATCCTCTCTCCCAAGCCGCCAAGTTTTTACACTAGAAATATATGGTGATGAAAAATTAAAACCGTCTTTAACCTTTAAATATAATATTATCACAATTAAATTTATCTAGAAGGTTTTGATATCATGAATACGCCTAAAACTACTACTGTAACAAAAAGCACTGCGCTAGGTATTAATAAATTGGCTGAAATTGGTTTATTTAAGTCCTTGAAATAACCATCATCATCATCATCATTAGCATTGATTAGTCGAGATTGTGACCTTTTATGGTTGTTTTCTTGAACATATAAAACAACCTTACTTTGACCTTGTTGTTGTGCTATACGAACAGCATCAAAAACATCATCATCTGAAGACATTGTAACACAATCATTGTCTTCATCCATATAAGAAATGCTGAAATCCTTGATGGTTGATGGAAGCTTGGATGTCACAGTTGAAAAAATATTTTCAAAGCTTGTGTAATCGACAGTAAACCGATGCGACTTACCATTTGGAGCTTTGAATTTGAAAGTAAAGAAGTTTTCTTCGTGACAACGAGGGAAAGATAATGCAGAGCCATCATCGATTACTGATGCTGATTCATCAGGATGAATCTCTGAAATTGGAGTAACATAACCTGATCCGATCATATGAGGTGGTGATTGGGGAGGAATATTAGAGGCACTTTGTGATGGTGTTATTGAATCTGAAACGAATGACTCGTTATCACCATCGTTTGCAGATGAATTCCAAGGATTATTCCACAATGGACCACCTGGTTCAGGACCTCTTTCTTGATTTTGCATTAAATACATCTAATAATTAAACAATAGTCAAAAAATAAACCAATAAATACATATTATTATTTATTATTTTAACAATCATTAATTTAAAACTACCTGTTCCATTATAACATAAGTTAATTTTAATACATCAACCATCCCTAAAATCATGCCATTTTCAACCACAGGTAAATTCAAATAATGACCATCTAAATAATAATGATAAAATGCATTTAAATATTAATAATACTAAAATTACAATACAATTATAAATATCTTAAAGTAATTATTACGCACCATACATCTTTTTTAACGCATCCAAGATACTAGTATGTGGAGAAGCAGTATCAGGATGAGGAGTCATTACCCTAGCAATGCTACATGTGGAAGGATCTAAACCTGCAGCTATTACCCTCAGGACAATATCTTTACTTGTAAAAATGCCTGCAATCATATTACGGTCCATTACCAAAACGGCAGTTGTCCTATATTCTCTCATTAATCTAGCTGCATCTCTAACAGAATTTCTAGTCCCGACTTGTACGGGTGAAGAGCCATCCAGCACGGTGGCTAGATCAGGACATGCCATTTTCTCTTTTAAAATTGACATATATTGCAAAACCGAGGTTGATTGATTAGACCATTCTCTTTCAACATTTTCAAGAGCATCGTAAAGTTTTTTAGAAGATCCATAAGCATGCTCTAATTTTTCTAAAGCTTCATACAAACATTTTGTGATATCTAAAAGTCCTACTACATCGCCCTCTTCGTTACACACAGGCTAAATGGGGTTTTATATATAATAATTAGTTAACGCTACAAGATAGTAATGATAATAACGTAAAATAATGGACACATACAAGATGTCTAAAGCCTCGTGTAACCATTGTACTGAGAGCATTATTAGCTGATGTGTTATCTCTGACACACATTGGATCTTTTGTCATGATTTGCCTTACAACTGTTGTTCTTGGGTTTAAGCCATCGCCTACTACTCTGAAAGCCAAATCCTTGGCAGTAAATATTCCCGATAAAGCTTCTTCGTCATCAATCACCAAAACACAATCAGCACGTTTTGCAGCCATAAGTTGTGATGCTTCGAGAATAGAGGTGCCTTCTCTAACAGTCAAAGCTGGTGATGGTTTTAATGAATAAACAGTATCATTTGGTTTGGTATTTGTTGGTCTAATAGAGTTATTATTGTTTCTTTTATCAGGTCTTCTTTGATAAATCTAGCGCATAAAAAATTTTAATTAATGAACCATTTCTAAGAGATTTTTAGATTTTATAATATCAATACTAACGTTATTATTCTCAATTTGACTTGATACAGGAGTTGGGATTTGTGTCGACAAATGGTTTTTTCTTGTTTTATGAGACATTTTTTTAAATTAATTTTTTTTTTACAAAGGAAAAAAGAAAAAAAATTTTTTCCAATCGTAATTTCCCGATGTTTAATGACGTGTGTGACACCTATTTTATCATTATTTATTATTTATTATTTTTTTAATATTAAACTAGTGGGTGAGCACGCCCTTACGTCCGTGCTTGGCTCTAGGCATGATTTATAACAATTTGTTTTAAACAACATTTGTAGTACATTTTTTTTGTTGTCAAGCAATTTTATAATCAATACGTTTTCAATGGATGTATGATTTGCAATTTACTTACTCATGCTCTATTTAATTATGGAAATAGAAAATATAATATTCACTGAGAAGAGCCCAACCTATTTCAAATTAATTCATTTTAATTAAAAATTTAATTTAACATCTAGAAAATATTTATTATATTATTATATGTGACCATTTTTTAAATCAAAATTTTTAAAATCACGATCATAGAATCAACCAATCAAATCGCTTTTAAAACAGACGGTGGATAGATATTTTAATTTTTATTAATTTTATTTTTTTTTGTTATATGTTGTGTTATAAATTAAAATTTTATGGAAAATCAGAAAATGCTAGAAATTACGTTGTACAAAAAAAATTAAATCACGCTATGCAAAAGTTATTTATAGATTATTTATAGATTATATATAAAATTTTATGGAAAATCAGAAAATGCCAGCAATTACTCAATTAGTCTTGTTTTCTAAAATATTTGTTATATAAGTCGAATTTTTGTCTTATTTATTTATTTAATATTTATTTTTTCGTTATATTGTTGTGAATAAAATTGAAATCACGTTTTTAAACCCAACCAATCAAATCGCTTTTATTCCGGACAGACGGTAGAGAATTAATATAGTAGTGTAGATTACGTTAATTTATTTATTTTCCGGTGCGATATTTATTCTCCTGTGACATATTGCATTATGTACAACAATCTTTTGTTAGGAGCAAGAGATAGGTAATATTAGTGGTAATCAAGAAGGGAACAAAAGTGGAGAGAATGTTATTCATTCATTCATTCATTATATTAATTCTAAAAGGGGATATTGGATAACTATATTAGGAGGGATAAAGAAAGATCCGAGTTAAATAACTTATTGTAACACAAATACAAAAAAATAGTGTCACAAAAGAAAGTTCTTTTTCGAATATTAGGTAAGGATAAGGGAGGGTGCATGCGTGTTAACATATATTTATATTATCCAATGATAATAATGATGACAGTATGAAGATGAAACGTAAAGAGTGGGAGCACGCCCCTCTCTGTTCTTCTACAATTAATCTAATATGGCGTAAAACATGATAAACATTACATTTATACAGTGAATTAAATTTACCAATTATATACAATGGGCGACAGCAAAAGCCATCAATTATTATTGGCTTACCAAAAATGGTATCTACTCCTCAGGGGTGATCAATTTTAAATGCAGCCAGATTTTTTATTTTAAAATTTCATTATTTTGTCAAAATTTGCCGCTGTTTGAAATGCCAAATCGCACAAAAAAAATAAAATCGCTTCTTTCAAACTTACAAAAAGCTAATGAGGCCCGTCGTTGATTCAAATCGCAATCAGCAAATCTTTGAATTAAAGCTCTATCTAGATAATACAAAAACATTAAATTTATATGCATAATTATAAGAACCTGAGCTATCAAATAATATAAATTTCATATAGTTATTATAAAGGTTTTCGAAAAACTGCGTTTGAATACTTTCTTCGTGATTTTATTATGATAATTTTCTTAAATTTTATTGGCTAAAATTTGTACACGTGATAAATTTTAAAACTCAAATTTTGCTGTCGCCACTGTATAAAAAGAAAAATTTGTTCAAATTAAAAATGGGGTTTCAAAACATCAACAAAATAAATTTTATTAAAATAATAAACAAATAAAAATTAAAAATTAAATGTTTATATCACCATCCATCACCTTTTTATTTTTATTATTGTTATTGTTATTGTTAACGAAAGAATACAACTCAATCAAATCAGTGCAACATATTTTGTAACAATTTACTATCTCTCTTTGGAAATTTTCGAAAGAAAAGGTAAATTTTCGTTTCACAAAATTGATCATTGATCAACCAATACTTGTTGTAGGAGACCTAGCTCAACTCCCTCCAGTTTGTCCTTCTCAAGTATTTAGATCACCAATTTGGAAAAAATTTTTCCCGCTATTCTTAACTACACCTCCAAGAGATAATAAGAGCAGGAAATTTGTCAGTTAGAAGCAAGCAAATAATCCAAACAAAAATGTGGTCAGAACTTGAAAAGTAGCTCAATCCTTCAACACAATAATCTTAACCACCTCCCTTTTGATGAAACACGCAATGATCCAATAGTTTTTGAATGCATAGACACACTGGAATTTGAAATATCAAATGATGATCACTCAATTCAAAAACTTTACAAGCTTGCCTCATAAATTGTATTTACAAGAAGGTGCATGTGTGATGTTTCTTAATAATAATAAGCTATTTGATGACAAAAATTTATGACGAAGAGAATGTTGAGGTGACCTTTCCTACCTTGGCCAGCATAAGCAAGGTTATTGTTCAAAGAGAAACATCTTACTTTGAAGTTTATGGTAAGAGAGCATCAAGGCATTTGCTCTGACTGTTCATAAAACTCAAGGATTGACCTTGTCACATGTAACATTGAATGCTGACGAAAGTATGTTGCAATGAGTCGAGCTCTCTCATTGGAAAAACTGCAAATCCTTGATTTTGATTATTCTCAATTAAAAAAATTTCCAGGGCGGTTTTGGAAGAGTATAAAGGGTTGCGAAAACTAGCAACGTTGTAAAAGAAAATATGCTTGTAAAAAATTGAATATAATTAATAATCGTGATGTATTAAATTTTTGATTTTTTAAATTCCTGAAAAAATTCCACAATAACAATATACATTTATATAAATAATAAAATATACATATCATTCATTACATTTTACAAATAAAAATTTGTGTACCTCTCTCTCACTATCAATAAACAACACGTCTGACTGAACTTTGTAAAATTTTGTTTTTCAAAAAAATTTATTTGCGTCCAAAAAAAAAGTTAATCGCGTCAGCAAAAAAAAACCAATAGGGGGCCGGTCCCTTGTACAACTCATGCCAAGGCTAAAAAAAGAATGATAGTAGTCGTTGCAATCTAGTTATTATTATTAATGCAAACAATTCTCGTGGTACACAGAATCTCATGATCAGTGACATTAATCCACAAAAAGTTACACTTTATCATCAATGAATTCATCATCAGATAAGGTAAATAACATGTGATAATTTTGTACATAAAAAAAAACATATATAAATGGTTTGATTTTTACCAACTTTTCTGCCTTGAAAAAAGTTGAGAAAAAATTTAATTTTATTATTATTGCAATATTATAATAAATATTATTATTAATATTTATTTCTTTCTTATTATACATCCGCTCCCCCTCTAATAATAAATAATAATAATAATAATAATTAATTAATTCACCAGGATTAAAAGAAAATAACCTCGAATAAATATAAATATCTTGTATATCTTGATCCAATAAAAATTAATTTAGCCAACCAACCAATAACAATAGTGTCTTGCATAGTAACTAAATTATTAAAAAAATGCCTGATCTTCAAATAGCAACTGGTGATAGATTTCGTGATAATTGTAAGTGTGATATCTAAAGATGATTGATAATGACTGATAAATGTAGTTTTGTGCGATTACTATGATTGTGTGTTCAATTTGTGTTCAACTTTGTGTTCGATTCGGATTGGTCATTAATTGTTTATTCATATAATAAAATAAAATAAAATATTTTTTTTTTTGTAAAAGAGAGATGTAAATTAAATAAAATAAAATTAACCAATCAATTAATTAAATTATAAAAGGTTTAAAATTACTTTATAAAGCTTTAATTGGAGACCAAACAAATATTGACGAAGGTAAAAACTCTTCTAATTATAAAAAAGATCAACAAAATCTCACCTCTCTTCTTTATATCCGTTAATCATCATAGTTGTCGTAACATTATTCATTTATTAAAAAAAAATTTTTTTAGTGTATGAATCCCGACTAGCGGAAAAAGCAAGGAAAATTGAACACTACATCCATCGAAGTTGCGACTTCACTGTCAACAAAAAATATAAAGATACAACACGTAGTAAAATTTGGAATTTGAAAGACAAAAAAAATCCTGAATTACGACAAAATGTGGTTGAAGGAATAATTGGCGAAGAGGAATTTGCAGGAATGAGTTCAGAGGTACATTTATATATTTTTGTGTGTTACATGTGTAAATGTTTGCATGTGTTACAAATAATAAAAAATTAAAATTTTAGGCAATGGCATCCAAAGAACGAAGAAGGGCAAATAAAATATTACGAAAGAATTCTCTCGCACAATCAATTGCTGTGGTAGAAACAAAAAGTTCTCGAGGTTTAGGATCAAATAGTAATATCAACAACATCAGTAACAACAACAACAACAACAACAACAACAACAACGATTTCATTATATAATTTATATAATATAACATTCATCATCAATCATCTTATCAATCAATTTTATCTTTTTAATTCATGAAATTTTTTTAATTAAAAAATTTTTCTTTTCGTTTTCCTCCCCTCTCTTCATTTAATAAGAATTTTTTTACCTGTACAGAAAATTAATTAAAAAAATTATTATTATTAAATCATCTTTTTTTTCGTGAACAAAATTTTAAAAATAAAGATTTTTACTCGCACATAAAACAAATTTTTCCATTTTCCGTTAGATCATCATCTTTTAATATTCTATAAGCTCTATTAAAAATTTCTTTTTCAACTTCTTGTTTTATGTATTCTACTGTATCGTTATTTGGTGGTAATTTTGCTATTGGCCTATACAGATATATATTCATTGGGAATTAGAATTAATAATAAATTTGTTTATTAATTAACTTAATATACACATATATTATTCTTACATTCCATCACGAAATTTAATCAATTCAATTGGTAAAACTAATCTTGTAGTGCCTAATTGGAATCGAACAAACTTGATAAACAAAAATCGAGTATCTCGTCTTCTTCATTAAGAAAAAATAAAAAGTAACTCAACTAGTTATAAATGCACCTTCCCACAAATGTACATCTTGAGTATTAGGAAACCAATATTTAAAATCGATATTATCTCTCTCACAAATCATCCTTACAATTTTCATTATTGTTCCCTCTAAGACTACACTCAACGGTGCTGTGACCACCAATGGTTGTTTAGTATCAGGATTATATATTACTGCAAAAAAATTTGAACTTAATCCTTCGTAGATGTTATGAGTATTTGAATCTGTCAGTATAATTTCATTAAATCCTGGATGCATTGTTTCTTCTAATCTTTCACGTTCACTTTTATTGGAAATATTAAAAAAATATATTAACTTAATTAATTGTACAGTTATCGTTTCATAATATACATAAAAAACATACCGAACCCATTGAGAATCTTTTGCCCAAGCATGCTTTCTGGGTTCGCCATATACTTCCACCTGAAATTATTTAAAAAATATATATATCGATTTTGCTTATTTTTTCAAAATTTTTTATATAATTCTTTACCTTACATCTAGGTGAATTGAGTGCATGTAATGGTGAAAATTGTGCTGCCATTCTAGGTCGTGATTCCTTTTTTGTTGTTATGGATTTTTGTGGGTTTTTATTATTTGTATAATAATAATACATTATTATTTCAACATAAATATATAAAGAATAACAGAACAATTGGATTGATCAAATTACTTGAAATGAATAACAAGCGATTAAAGTAACTTTTGTTTCACCAACACCTTTCTCTTCTTCAATCTCATAATATTTTTTCAATCCTATTTTTAATAATTCTATTAATAGGTTTTTAAAAACTTTGCAATCTCTGAATTTTTCTAAAGCTTTTGTAACAATCTCGCTTTCTTCTACCAATCCTCCCTTATCATCATTATCATCATCATCATCATCATCATCATCATCATCATTATCTGAGATAAATTTTATTGAATTCATAGATTTACAAATACGATCCACATGTCCTTGTAAATCCATGATAGAGTTTCTTTTCACTGTTCTAACTGTTGTATATGCTCCTAATATAATAATAAAAATTATTACATTATTATTAAAATAATTGTCATTTTAGATTTACCTCTCGGGTATTGCAATAAGAATTCTTTAGAGGTTATTCTTGTTTCCTTTATTTCATACTTTGAACTTGATCTAGACTTTGAGTCTTCTTCAAACTGTAAAAGCTCTACTAACACTACACTAACCAAAAAAAAAAATACTTATTATTTAAATATATGTTATTGTTATTGTTATAGATGTCATCTCTACAAATTATTCAAATACCAGACAATGTATTTTTTTTGTTTGAATTCATGGTTTTCTTTTAATTTAAATTTTTGAAAAATTAAGAATGTAAATTTATTTTTTCCAAAAGTAGTAGTTAACCCAGGTCATGTGTTTGTGTAATGTTAGCATGAATGAAATTAAATTTTGTGTTACTTTCCTTCTTTAAAAGGGCCACGAATTAATGAAACACGAACTCCAAGTTCATATTACATTACCCCTGTAGTTTTAAACAACCGACTTTTATTATTGTTGATTGAATAATTTTTCATATATTCGATAAGTCGGCCCTCTCGTTCGAGTACTTGATAATATAAACAAATGACCGACTTTATCCTTATAAATTCGATTTTTAACACGGATTTTAGATTAAAGAAAGATTATATTTCAAAATGATCAATCAATCAAAAAAATTTTTTTTTACTCAAATCAATATCATTAATATTTAATAAAATGGCACTTTCTACACCAGTAGTTTGTTATATTTTTCATTACAGTTTTATCATTTTAAATTATCGGATTGTATGTTGCACAAAATAAATCCGATTTTTTAACTTTAAACAACTCAATCTCTTTAACTGGATAACTTCATAAAAAAAATTTTTGGGAAAAAGAAAACGAGGAATTTTTAAATAAAAAAAAAACAAAAAAAAATAGCAGCATCAATATTTGGTCAATGAACGAATAAAAGTATAAAGGTGTAATAATAATTATTTATTTTAAAAAAAATTGAATACAGGTGCTCAATTTAAATGACCTGATCAGATTAATGCCTGCGTCAAAAAAAATATATTAAAACTGCAATGTATCTTTTTTTTTTTTTGTTGTCAGTTAAATCAATATTATTTAATTTTTCGATTAATTCAAAAAAATATCTTTGTAATCTTTGTGTTAATATTTTTTCCTTTCCGCCAAAAAAAAACGTTTTGGATAGTCAGCATTGTATGCATAGAGGTAGGAACATTAGTAGAAAGAAGTATTAGGAATATTTACGTATGCTTGTATTTGCATTATTTGGACTAATTCGCCTCTTTGTTTTCAATTAGGTGTTATAATTAAATCATTGAAAAATGAACCAACACGGAATTTGGAATTGCAATCATAAATTACAAATAGACATTTTCCTGGAGTACCACCACAACCTTTCTTATTTAGAATATGATATTCAATGCACCCTGCTTTGTTTATCATCCCAAATAAAAAGATAAACATAAAAGTTCCCTTGGAATTTTCTTTGCCGATCATTTTATTTTAACGAAAGAATACAACTCAATCAAATCAGTGCAACATACTTTGTAACAATTTAGAAAAGATTGGCAATATTTTG